AAACCATCAGATACCACTTTCTACGAAACTGCTGAATGTTTGATCTTACCTCTCAACGCTTTCTTGAAGGGACGACAGGACATTTATGCCGGCCGTAGAGCTCACCCACAGTAAAACAACATGAACAACCAACTTACCACGTTTTCGCAATAAAATTGCTCATGTTTACTTAGTGTTTTGCACTTAGCATGATTACGATTGATAGCTGCTCATTGACTTTCACACGACAAATGAACTAATTTCGTGACGGACAGAAAAACACACACACAGATACAGACAAATTAGCGCTTTATTACAAGTAATGATATATATTTCCTGTAATCAGCACATCAGTCAACTCCCGTAGACAAAATTCCAAGCAAATCGGTGATTGTACTGCATCGCGCCTACCGTAACTCCCCCAGTAGGGTCCTATCGGGAAATGGCTGTTATTTTCTACATCAGGTAGCAAATACTCTACCAAATAGGTTGTTGTGAGCTCTGACTTCCTCAAAATCCAGAAAAATTAAGGTCAGGTGCTTTTCTGCCTTTTAAAAAATTCTTTTTGATCACGTCTCATTCAGCAAAACCAGATTATTAAACTACTTTTCTGAAGGAAGGGTTCTATTCTTGAATGATAGACTGTGATGCTAAAAAAATTCAACTTCTGAGAATATTTTGAGTTCGAAAACAAGCGTATCCATCAACCTAATATGCATAACGGTATGCATGTTTGGAAAAAACATTTTTTTCTTGAATAATTTACCAACTCCTACATAGTAGCAAGCAAACCTTATGCATATTGAGCAGTGACTGCCTATTTTAAGAAATTTCGCCATATCAATTTATTTCTAACGAAGGAAATGATGCGATCAAGAGCTAATAAGGAATTTGAACGTTAATCATAATTTTATATAGAAGCATTTTAAAGTGGAGCGGTTGCTCAATTAGAAAAAAGTAAAACTGATCGTGTTGAAAACAATGAAATGACAAGTCAGTATCTTGCTCGCAACTGAGAAAAGAAAAATTGCAAGATAGAAGGCCAGTATGAAAGTTTTCAGTTATTCTAGCAGATTTCAACTCTCAGCTGTACTTGAAAAGTCGACACCCCTCCCCTCAAGAAAAAACTGCAGGCTTTCAGTAAGCCGAGTGTTGTCAGCCATTACTTTACCAAACTGCAAAACTACTTCCAACTCCACACATGCACGCATCCAAGAGCG